AAAAAAACAAAAAAATAAAAAAATATCCTAGTTGCGCCACTGTCTAGGAAATAGGGAAATGCATATTTTATAGTGAAAAAATTATCACATTACTTGTGATTACTGATTGTTATTATTATTATTTTAGTCAGCGATATTATTATTATTGAGTACCTACTGCAGTTTCCGACCGCTTATGCGTCAGTTGTAAGTGTTGTAACCAATTATATACAGTGTGTAATCGTGAATTAGAAACACTATATCTTTACAAATATTAAATATATTTGAATTTTGTTTGTTGTTGGTGCTTAACTGCTTAACAAACTTGGTTATAAATTATGATTTATTAAGCTAATTAAACTATTTTCAGACCATTTCATTTCGGGCATAACAACTTTTTTTTATAAATAGCAACCCCACCTTTTTTATTTATTATTTTTACTCTTATTTTTTATGAATTTTAATGGTCAAAGCAACTTTCTATCTTCTATGTTACAAYATAGCCGAGTTATGGATGTTTTAATGTTTAATATTTTTGAATTATTTATACGGTTCATTTGATTCGCAAATAATCTTCAAGCTTGTTAATTTTATTTATATTTTTGGATATTTTACAATAGTCATTAAATGATAGGCAAGAGTTTTCCATTTTACGATTGTGCTTATTTGAGTGTAATTTAGATACAATAAATTTACTGTGTTCATTTGAAATAGGCCAGTTCAACTAATGTTTCGTATTATATTTGCAGTCATATTTTATGATTTCTCAAGTGTTTATTAAATTAATCTCATAATTTCATAACTGAGATAGCTTAGGTATTGTAGCTTGAATAAAATATGAATAATTCAGAAAAGGTTGATATGCTTTTTATTTACTGGTAATGTCAAAAAAATGCACGTTACGTGGCACATGATTATGTTGAACGTTACCAGAGTATGTATCTATTAATTAGCACTTTTTATGACTTGGTTTTGTTGATCAAAATATTAAAACACCTTTTTTGTATTTCTAAATTCAGATAGGYAACACCCGTCACATAGTTATTTCCATAAATTAGAAAGRAATTTAAGAAATACGGGTTCTTTTTGTAACACAAGAGTTAATGTCAACCAACAACCTAGACGAGTCAATGCTTTAGGAGAAGATATTGAGCTTCAAGTGTTGGCGTACGTAAGAGCAAATCTCAGGGTTAGTACGCGTCATGTCGGCTTTGAAATAGGTACCTATTTCTCATAATGCCATTCATAAAATTTTWAAAAAAACATAAATTTTATCCATACAGACCTGATTTAGTTCAACACTTACGAAAAGGTGATGCTGAGCTTAGGATTATGTTTATTTCTTGGTTGGTAACTCAATTAGAAGACAATCCTATTATTTTAAATTAGATATTATGGACAGATGAATCCAAATTTACTAACAACGGGATTATAAATAAACAGAATAATCGTTATTGCCGGACAATTAAAATCCCCATTGGGTTTTTGAAACAAATGACCAGTTTGTCTGGGGAACAAATGTTTGGTGTGGTTTGATTGGAGGTAAATTTTTGGGACCTTATTTCTACGATACTTTATGAAATGGAAGACGGTATCTAGAATTTATAATGAACGAATTACCGATCATGCTATATTGATAATATCCCTCTAGAAACAAGAAACAATTTGATTTTGCAACTAGATGGTACGCCGGCACGTAATGCAATTACCGTGAAGAATTATTTAAATGAAAATTTTGAAAATCGATGGATAGAAACTAATGGTATAATAAAATGGCCACCTCAATCCCCAAATCGTACTGCACCATTAGATTATTTTTTGTGGCGGCATCTAAAAACTGTAGTCTATAATCTATGCAAACCCACCTACTAATTTTATTCATTTGAAAGAAAAAATAGTTGCGGCGTATACTCAATTTACTGAAGGTCAAATCTCATCTGCAACAAATAAAGAATTCTTAAAAAGGGCAGAAGCATGCTTAAATTGTAATGGAGAGCAATTTGAACAATTTATAAGATGAATGAATGTAATTTTGAATTCTAAAAATTAAAATTAAAAAATAAATTCTAAACATATTTTTTTTTTATAACCTAAGAAGTTATTGTAGGGGAAGGAGATTATCCTCTCCAAAAGTAGGTACTAAAAATATCACTAGAAGATATCATGAGGTGAAAAAAGAAATAATTTAAGTCATAAAATTGATGAATAATTCAAAAATGACAAAAAAATAATATCAAAAATGTAAATATCCATAACTCGACTATTTTTTAACATAAAAAGTTATTTGACCAATAAAATTCATAAAAAAAATAATAAATCAAAAAAGGCGGGGTTGTCATTTCGAATAAAAAGTTGTAATGCACATGCGCGAAATGAAATAACCTAAAAATAGTTTAATTAGCTTAATAAGTGTTATAACCATTGACCTATTATAATAAGTCAATGGTTATAACCAAGTTTGTTAAGCACCAACAACAAACAGAATTCAAATTTCAAATATATTTAATATTTTTAAAGTTATAGTGTTTYCAACTTACGATTAAACACTGTATAATTGTTGTTTTTTTCGATCAGACTCATTTAAATACTTTAAAATTATTTAATATATTTAGTATTTACTACATATTATGTCTTCTATGGGGAGCAAAACCCTACTATAATAAATAATTAAACATTTCATAATATTATTAAATAKTTTTTGGAAAAAATATAATGTTTAAAGTTTAACTTTTAATCTATGATAATATCATAATGTATAGGTACATACAGACATACAGTATTAAGTACTTTTATATACTTACCTAGCGTACATCTGTTAAACTCAGAACTCCACCTTCCATTAATGAAACAAAGTATTTTTATTTGAGTCTCCACGATTCTAATTGGTAAGACATATTAATATGTGTACAATTGTGTACTTTTATATGAAGTTAATAATTTAGTTCCAGGTAGTGATAATTTTGAATAACTTATACTTACATCACTCAAAATACAAGTAAGATATTAATCTATCTGAGTATCTGACGAAATTTCTAGGAACGTACTCCCTCCAAAGTCCAAACACAAGCTATGCTTATTGGAGGGTTATCATCTAAACTTTCTGGTGTTTTTTTGTTTAATATTTTTATTTGATTTGATGATAAATAAAAATTATTATTATTATTATTTCTAGAAACGTAAAACAATGTAGTAATCAACATTAAAAAACATTGGTCAAGATTCTCAAATATTAGTAACTGTTTTATTTTACAATTAAACATGAAATATAAAATATATAGTTTGCTTTTCTGACCATATAATATACAACTAATGTAAAATAAAACTTCTGTATCATAACTTTAATGTAAAATTAAAACCCATTCGTAAAATCTAAATACAAATATCGGAGTTTATTCTGTTAGCGTTTATATCTTATGAACATTTAATTAATTTTTTATAATAATGCAACATGCAACCTTTACAAAGAGTTGATATCATATAAAGAAGGATGAATTCATTTTAAAACTAGGAAATTCCGTCTAGTTTTCTTTAAATACTATAAATTATAATCTAATTATAATGGCAAGATGTTGGCAATGATCCAAAGCAAAAATGTAATTATTGAATTCTCAATATTTAGATGATTGTGAAGCACAATAGTTACACCAAAGTTGCATGTGACAAGTTATTTGTGAAAGATCATTGGGTAAGTTGAAGATAATAAAAAATTGTTTACGATATATTCTCTGAATCAAGACCATCTTGAAGCATTCATACTATAATAATAAATATCGGTTGAAAGAGATATTTTGGATGCTATTGATTTTAAATAAATATTGAATAATATATACTGGAAAAGTTTTCTGTATTGATAAATTAGATATTCGGTACCTCGTACATATCTATGGTGTAAAGGCTAAAGTGAAAATTAAWACTAAAATTTAAATCACAAAATAATTATATAAATACTAGGTAATGAAATATTGAAATCTGATACCTGTGTATATTAATAAATTATTTAATAGTCAAAACAAATATTTTATTCTGATCAAATATTAATTATTGTTTAATATTACACATAGCAATATAAAGTAGTATAAAATATACGTGTACCTACATTATGTAATAATTATATAATAGGTACGAGTTTAGATATAGGTATATAAATCTAATTCTTAATGGTATTTTCTATACGATATTCATAATAGCATGTGTTCGATGATTACAAAATCTAATAAAGTAAAAACTTATTACTTGGAAACGTGTTATATATAAAAAAAAATAAACTTTTGGTTAATATTTTATAAATAAAATAATAATAATTAATCATCAAGTGTCGTTGCGTGAATTGTCGATGGTAGACTATACCACAATGACTTGGAYACAGTCACTATTCCAATTGAATAAGTCGAACCAGGATTTAGATCTTTTAGCTGTAAAATATTAGATTGTATTAATTTAATTCAAATAATAGAAATTAAAAATAATAAAAGGAGAATAATATTTAGTTAGCTCCAACTATACCTTGCTTTGTTTCGATACTTCTATTGGGGGTAATATATAATATTGTGTATCATAATATTATTATAAAACATTTGAAAACAATAAAAATCACCATATATTATTATATAGGGAAATGAATCTGAGTATAATAGCTCAGTTAAAAGGACGTATACACTAATAACATAATATTATRTACTGTCTCCGTCCATCCAATTTCCAAAATTGAAAATAGCAACATTTTACTATAGACACTCGAAAATAAAATTGTGTTATCTAGGTAAATATGAATGTTTGGGAAATTTCGTGATTTCTAAATAAACGTGAATTTTGAAGAGCGTAATATTTTCAAGAAAATGTYATATCTTTTTAAGAARATATTGTCTAAAAGATTGGTTACATCGCTTAATGTTTTGCTTATACTATAATCAAGATGTATATTCGATGTCTCATATTGAAACATCGATATAACACTCATAACACAACTTGTTATCATTGCATTTTAAATACAGACAGAGACAGTAAATTATATTACTTATAGTACCAATATCATATCCGTACAATATTAGTACGAAAATGTAACATTTAAATTAATCACCGTATAGTTGTAAGAAGGAACTTCTTCGTAGATTGCTAATTCTATTGACCTCATACTTGAATACAATYTCATATCTGACATTTCTTCTACGTTAATAATGTACATATCTAATACACCATTAAATATCCACGGAATATCCCACTCGAGTKTTATAAAAGTCYTTYCAATATCAATTACTTTGAAATTATTTGGAGAATCTGGTACTAAACAAAGCATTAAACACATGATTTTTGTTTTAAGAATTACTTAAGCTTTAACTAGTTTCATATCTTACTTACGTTCATCGATCATTTTAAATGAAATAGACGAAACTTTACCACCTTCAGGATTACTTATAAACTTAGGCTTTATCTATTACAAAATTATATTTTATGATTTATTAATAATATTTTCTTATTTTATAATGTCATCTATCTAATACATACATTAAACGTGAAGGTAACTGCTGGGCTCAAATTATTAAAATTATGGCAATAATATTCCGGCCAAGCGGAACATTTCGTCGGGGCAATCTCTATAACATTTTTTTTGTTTCCAAAACCTTCTTTATTGAATGAAACTATAAATCCATTTAAATTTGAGTCTTCTATATAATACCAACGAAGTCCTACTGATCGATGTCTTAGACTCTTTTTATAARCTACGATATCATAGACAGGTACTAAATCTGTATGGGTGTGTTTAAAAACAATAATGTATAATAAATAATAATAATATGTGAAGAAATATAATCATAATAATTATGATGAACTTACATTTTGATTTAGTAGTAAAGTTTGTAAATAGATATTGTTCAGCGTTATATCCAATGTGTGTTTTTATAAACACTTTCAGTTCATAATAATTATTTGATTTCAGATCATTAATGTGAATGTAGTTTTTTTTCGTTTCTATTACTTGTAATATGTTATTTCTCCTATCCTATAATCAAAACCAAATGTTTTGATTTTACAAAGAAATACGTCATAATACATTAATTTAAACAATTATTTACCTTAAGTTCAATGTAATACGATGATAACAATCCATTTAACTTTGAACAATTTACGGGATCGACTTTCCATTGGACAAACACTGAGCTATTCGTCACATTCATTGGGCGTTGAAGGTCGAAAATAGGTTTAGTTTTTGGRTCTATTCATAAAACACACAAAAATCATCCATTAAAATACGAATACACRATAGGTRTATTAAATTTATARGTACATGATGCTGGTGTCAATGTGCACACATGGTTTTCTCGTTGCACAGTATTTAAGTTATTGGCAACTGTAACTTGTATACAGTACTGTGAATTAGGAATCACGTCAAAAATTTCGTAATTTGTTCGATTGTAAATTGTAATTGACGTCCAATCGTTTTCTATTTCATCCAAAGAACAACTGAGAATTCGTTTTAGCTGAAATCAATTTGAAATTAATTGTATTATAAAAGACAAACATACTATAGGTATGCATCATGTGGTATTAATTTCAGATGGATTACACTAATATATCTATAATTAGTGAAAATAGACCAATTACTTTGTATCTGAGAACACACTTTAATGGGTCGTTGACTGTAGCATCGTAACGGAAAGCGTTTACTAATTTCCAGGATATTTTAATTGTATTATTATATGCGGTTGCAACAATACCCCTAATACTAACGTCATTTCCTATATTAGAACATACAATTGAATTGATGATTGATAAGTTAAGAAGTTAWCCGTTAAGTAATAAAAAATTATGTAGTTACCTGACATAAGGGGAGTAAATGAATACGTAGGTGACGATCTTAATGGACCTTTAGAAGTCTTAGGCGTGAGTAATATACTATAATTGTACCCAGGATAGAGATTTTCTATTGAGTGGCTAGTATTAAAACTTGATTTTATTTCTTTAACACCAGAAATTACATTTTGTGTTTGATTAACTGTTAACGTAATAACATATTCAGTAATATTGCATTCTAACTGTTTAGGTATTATCTGTAAATTAATAATTTTATAATAAGTTGGATAAGCTATAATTTATACAATAAAGTTTTAGTTATTAAAAAAAAGGCTAATTTTGCTAAACAAATTTAGAAAGTTATACTAACCTC